GTGTGGATTGACTATTCGTCACCCTGGGTGAGGAATGGTTATTCTTCACCCCCCTCTATTTTACCATCAATGGACCGTAATTTTACGTTCCGTAAATTTTGCCTTATTTCCGAAGTAAAAAGAGACCGTAAGAAAATATATAATCATCGAAAAAAATATTTTATATTATGTAAAATTACAAATATAAAAACATAGTGTAAAATACACATAAACTGTAAAATTACAAATATAAAAACATAGTGTAAAATACACATAAACTGTAAATCGATAGGAATGTAACTATTTGAATTCCAAACATAAATTAATTATGAAATGATCGTAAGATTACCTCGGGTGCAGAATATATATATATATATATAGGGTCGCGCTATTCGTCACCTTGGGTGAAGAATAATTATTCTTCACCCTAGCCGGTCTCTGTACGCTTCAGTCCGTGCTTCCAGCCAAAGTATCTTTTGGAACCACCCGAGGTAAGATTACTGTTTGCTTTTCTTTTCTACGTGAGCCAACTCCCGTCAAATCAGACGGGGTAAGATTTGTTGGTGGTGACGTAAGATTGCCATTTACTGCTTTGACGCAAGAATACAAAACTAGATGTCGTAAGTTTTTTCCCCGTTTTGGCTCCATAAACTAACCACGAGCAACCTGACGTGATAAACCCATCTGCAACCAGCGTGGTCAACCTACCTATTACTGTAAAATTCCTTGTGACAACATAAATTGTTGTAAAATAATTGTAAGTAATCCACCAATTAACCAGTAGAGCCATTACGTACGTAGGACCAAATAGAACACTGTCGTAAGCTATGAAGGAATTAACTTATTGCGCAATTGCTCATCAGTATATAATCACACTACACAAGAGTGCTCTTAAAAACATACCCCCACTGTTCACAAATATAAGATATTTTGGATATTTTAATATGGACTACATACAAACTGAAATGAGTGAATGAAAGTACTAAAACGTGTCTGTATACATCCTACTCACAAAAAAGTTAGAACATCTTATATTTGGAAGGAGTACAATATTAGGACTTTTGGCATGGCCTTGCATGTCCATAGAAATGTGCAACATAAAAGAATTGTATGTAAAATTTCACAACGTAGAAGACTGAAGCAGTATATGTCCTCTACGATGGTACTCTACAACTAAAAGTGCCATGTTTTTATCTGCAAGTCAGTGCCTCTAGGTCCTTCCACTTTTCTCCAAGTCACTTACAAACAACTCATCTTCCTGATAAATTCACAAAACGTAGTTCAAGTGAGATTATCAGTCAACTACACTAGCAATTAAGAAATCAATACTCATTTCTAAGAAATACCAGATTTCTCACACTTGGCGATAACATATTTACCAATGGAACAAAAAGGATTCCTGCAAGCCAGAAATAAATATGTCCCTTATCACCCAACCACACCAATATGAAATGACAATATTGCTATTTAATATCTTCTTGCCATACTTAAACAAGGAAATTGTGCCCGTAAGCTTCTGATTATCTCCATTGATCGAGCATTTATGGTATTGTGTGTATAAACATATATGTACCCATCCCTACAGAAAAAAAAGTTATATGCAATGAAAAAGAGTATAAAACTAATATGCTACTGAATACAGGTATATTACACAATTAGCTATGTGTACTAACAAATTGAACACCAGGGGATGCCTTTTCTGACACAATTTCCAACTGAAAATTGGTGGCATAATACCCTTGTTTTTAAGGCACACAAGCAGCTCAAAATTGATAGGATTCTCTAGAAAATCCATGAAGTGTTAGTTCAACTACAACATGAGGTATATCTACTTTAAATCCAGACCTAGATGATAGGAAAGTCACATGTTCCACCAAGAACATGGCCGCTGCGGGGGATCGAGATCTCCACACTTCCTTTGGTACTCATACACCCTCTTTTGATGTCTGTCAGATCTGCAATATTCCTGGCCACTTTACTGCTAGATGTCCGCAAGCTCTTTGTGATCGTTGCAAGAAGAGGGGTCATTTAAATGTTGTTTGCAATGAATTCTTTCCATGGGAATGCACCCCTGCGATGTGTGCATTTCAATCCAAAGGTCAAGGTTTCTTTTACATACCTGATTTTGGTGTGGATAGGCAGCCTACAGAGCGCATTTTCAATATCGTTGTTACTATTACTGAAGGGTCTGCTCTCACTAAAGATATTGAACATGAATTGAGCGTGTATGTGGGTCAGCGGTGGAGGTGTTCGGCTAAATTCTTTGCACCGCAAAAATTTATTATGAGAATGCCAAACCCTAGAGAGGTTGACAGAGCTCTTTTTGTGGAACATGTTAGACTTAAACAATGTGGATTTTCCCCCTGGTCTGAAGATATTGATTCTGAAGGACTTATGGAAGTTGCCTGGGTCAGAATTGGCAAGATCCCACCTAACAAAAGATCTGATAAAGTTGTAGCCTATGTGGGGGGGACTGGTTGGAATCACTCTGGAGGTGGATATGGCGACCATTAATCGCCCTTCCTCTGTCAGAGCAAAAATAGGGTGCAGATCTGTATCCCAACTGCCTGTTACTGCGGAAGGAGTACTTGGGGGACGCTTCTATAAATTCACCTATGAAATTAAAGAGGTTCTTGTTAAAAACCCTGTTAATGAGGAGCCTGTGGATCCTGTTGCTGATGACAAAGCTAATCCTGAATACACTCCTAAAAGGAAACATGCTGATCGGGAGAAAAAAGAGAGCCCACCTGATGAACATCGATCTGGCAAAAATGACTACTCTTATCGTGGGGGCAAGGCCTGTCGCCTGCTACCTAGTGATAATGAAGAAATTGAGGAGGAGGCCTCATCTGATAGTAGGGTAGACACTTCCTTACTTATTGAAACAATGCAGAAGGAGATTGATGATTGTGCTAGAAAGGAAGAGCTGAACTCCTCCAAGTGGATCGTGCCTATTGAATCTGCTAATTTTGGGACAAACTCACAAGATGTTCAGGTGACTGGCGATATTTGTAACATTGATATCTTAAAGTCTGTAGCTGCTGACACTAATTTTGATCAGGTTGTGGAGGTGGTGGGTGAAACAGATCCAGGCATGAAAACGTCATGTGATTATGTTGTACAGCTCCCATCCCCGGATCATCTTGAGGAGTTTGTCCTCACACCTCCTCTTGCAACTGAACCTACTCTCAGGTTCAGCAAGCGTAACGCATCCAGAATGCAGGACAAGATGGAAGATACGGCGGTGAAGCTGGCCTGCAAAAACGACCCTGAAGGTACTTCCAAACATGCTTGTAAAAATTCTTTTGATGTCTTGTCCAATTATAAGCTAGTGTGTAGAGCTAGCAAAATGGGGGTAGATATTCCTGATGACTCGTTCACCTCTGTGGATGTTATTAGAGAATTAGAAATTGTTAGAGGCGAGCTAGTTAACAAGAGCAAAACTGAGTCCATTGCTCAAGAAATGGAGGTAGATATTGCAGTTATTGATGGGTTGGGCAGAAGTAACCCTGTGGATCTAGAATGGCTTGATCAAGAAGAACACGTCCTTGAAAAGATTTCTTCTAGTAAATCTAAAAAGAATAATAGAAAAAAAGTAAGTATTAAGACTTCTAGACCTGTTACTAGAAGTCAAAAAAGTTGTGTCCTAGAGGCAAATATAATTTGTAACCCTACAATGCCTCCTGGTAGGGTTACTCGGTCCAATTTTCACAAGAAGCATTCCAAATGAGAGACCTCATTTGGAACTGTCGAGGGGTGGGCAAGAAAGGGATGGCCACCTGCCTCTCCGACATGATTAGTGACCATTCCCTTGATTTCCTGAGTCTCCAAGAAACTATGAAGAAAAATTTCTCCCCCAAGTGCTTGAGGAGAATTGACCCTTTTGGATTCTTCCATTGGAACTGGATCCCTTCTGTTGGAAAATCTGGCGGCATCCTTTGTGGTGTGAGATGTGACAAGCTTGATATCATTTCCTGTATTAAGGGGAGACATATGCTGCAACTTGTGTTGCTGGACAAACCTAAGAATTTGAAGTGGGGGCTGATAGTAGTTTATGGCCCAGCGAGGAACTGAAAGGGGACTTTCTGGTCGAACTAGCTGCCACTGGCATTGGGATGCAAGTACCCTACATTGTTGGGGGTGACTTTAATATCCTAAGACATTCTGGTGAAAAGAATAAGAAACTTAATAATCATAAATCCTCGGACCTGTTTAATTCTATCATCAATACCTTGGCTCTTCATGAAATCCACATTAGTGGGGGTAAGTATACCTGGATGAACCAACAGGCCCACCCCACTTTGGAAAAACTGGATCGCATCCTTATGTTTGAAGATTGGGAAGACATGTTTCCACTTGTCTCTGTTAGAAAACTAGTTCGTGAGATCTCTGATCACAATCCTTTGCTTATGTCCACGGATGAGGAGGGGAGAGATGCCCCCAAACCAAGGGAGTTTCTTTTTGATCTTTCCTAGATTAAAGACGATAGTTTCCTGCCGCTAGTCAGCCGGATCTGGACTAGAAAAGTCAAATCTTCTGACCCCATTGACATCCTTAATATAAAAATAAAAAGATTCAAAACCTTTTTCAAAGGATGGGGCTTCGATCGATATGGCCATAATAAAAAGAGGAAAGAGGACCTTAGGATGGAGTTATCCATGCTCGAAGAGCTCGAAGAAGATGGACCACTTCCTCCTGAGCTTTACAGTAGGAAGATGGATGCCAACTTCGAGTTGCACGAGCTGCTTGTCAATGAAGAGATCTTCTGGCTGCAACAATCACATGAGCGTTGGCTCCTTAAAGGAGATCTAAACACAGATTACTATCATAAGATCGCTAATGGCCGAAAGCGTAAAAACACCATCCATTCTCTTAAAGTAGGGGATGACATTACCGTAGAGGGCACTGATAACCTGATTGCTCATGCCACTACTTTTTACAGAGATCTTTTTGGCCCAGCCCCTGGCAATTTGTTTCATCTTAGTCCTGAGACATGGACTGATAATGAGAAACTTTCTGCAGAAGATAATGTGGATCTCTGTCGAGAATTTACAGAACAGGAAGTTAAGGCTGCTCTGTTTGACATGGCCCCAAACAGAGCCCCCGGACCTGATAATATTCCTGTGGAATTTTATCAGGTCTGTTGGGATATAGTCAAGAACGATATTATGGCCCTATTTGACCACTTCCATCAAGGTAAGCTTGATGTGAAACGCCTCAATTATGGGATAATTACCCTTCTGCCTAAAGTATCTAGTGCCGAGAGAATCCAGCAATTTAGACCCATCTGCCTGCTTCGTTGCCCCTATAAGCTCATAACTAAAGTTCTCGACCGTAGGGTTGCTATATACGCTGATAAACTCATCAGCCTCACCCATAATGCTTTTGTGAAAGGGAGGAACATCATGGACGGTGTACTCTCACTCCATGAGATTCTTAACTATACACATGTCAAGAAAAAAGTGGGAATTGTCCTTAAACTTGACTTCGAAAAAGCCTATGACAAAGTAAACTGGGACTTCCTTCTTGAATGTCACAAAATGCGTGGTTTTAATGAAACCTGGTGTGGATGGATTAAGCAAATTCTTTACGAGGGGACAGTTAGCATCAAGTTGAATAACTGTACGGGGCCGTACTTTCAAAGAGCTAAGGGGGTCCGACAAGGCGACCCCCACTCTCCTTTTCTGTTCAATTTGGCTATGGAATGCCTCATCAAAATGATTAAAAATGCCCAAAAAAACAAGTTGATCACAGGTCTGGCATCTGACCTTATTCCTGAAGGGGTGGCTGTTCTGCAGTACGCAGATGACACCATCATTTGCTTGGAGGATGATATCGATAAGGCAGTTAACCTGAAGTTGCTGCTATATCTGTTTGAAATGATGTCTGGGTTAAAAGTGAACTTCCAAAAAAGTGAAATCCTCGCCGTGGGGGGGATGAAAATATTGTGAAAAAGTATGCGAAGTTGTTTAATTGTGAGATAGGCAGCTTTCCCATTAAATACTTGGGCATGCCTGTGAGTTATGCAAACCTGAAAAACTCTGATTGGGAGTTCATTGTGAGTAAATACCTGAAGAGATTTGAGACCTGGATAGGTAATGCGGCTTCGATGGGTGGGAGACATACCCTGCTAGATTTCGTGCTTACTCAAATCTCTCTGTATCATATGTCGATGTGGCTTATGAATAAAACTTTTATTGAGAAACTGGATAAACACAAAAGGAGATTCTTCTGGCAAGGGTGTAATAAGAAAAGGAGATACCACCTTGTGAGATGGAGTAGAATTTGTAGATCCAAGGATAAGGGAGGTCTGGGTATCAAAGATCTGCGTAAACAAAACATTAGCTTGATGGTTAAATGGTGGTGGAAACTTGAAACGCAAAAGGGACTCTGGCAGGATATTGTCCGAGCCAGATACCTTCGCAACAAAACTGTTGCGGATGTTACTGCCAGATTTTCTGACTCACCTTGTTGGAAATCTTTCCTAAAAGTAAAAAATGTATATATGTTGGGCAGAAAAATAGAAACAAAAAAAGGAGACATCACTAGGCTGTGGAAAGACTCAATTAATGGGTCTCCTTCTCTTCAGGATCAATTTCCTCAGTTGTTTGATATCTGTAGCTTTCTAGATTGTACTGTGAACAAGTTGGCCGGCAACAATACTAGCTCTTTCTTTAGACGCAGTCTTACCCCTGATCTGCTTAAGCAGTGGGAAGCGTTGCAATCTATAATCAATAACATCCCTCTTGCTAAGAGCGGCGATGGTGACAAAATCTCCTGGGGGCTTAATCAGAATGGCAAGTTTTCCACGAAATATGTGTATAAGATGTTGGAAAAACCCCTCGCTGGGTGTAACTATAAGTGGATATGGAAAACAAAAATTCCTCTTAAAATCAAAATCTTTTTATGGCAGTTATCCCAAGACGCAGTGCTCACGAGACAAGTGATGAGGGAGAGAAAGTGGCCAGGGAATCCTTGCTGTTCTTTCTGCAGGGAGGTAGAAACTTCTAACCACCTTTTCTTCACTTGCCCCGTCGCTAGGGTGGTTTGGAGATCTATTGGGGTGGTGCTAGGCACTGATATGTGCCCTAACAACTATTGGCAGTATTTCACCTGGTGCAACAAATTTCTCCCTGGCAAAGATACCTTCTATACTGTGGGTTTAGCTGCTACTTGTTGGGCCATCTGGCTGGCGCGCAATCGTGCTACCTTTGAGAAAAAACAGATTAAGACTCCTTTTGAGATTGTTTACTCTCTATGTTCCTTTCTTTTGTACTGGACAGGTTTACAGAAAGAAGAGGCGGCGGGAGAACTTCGCGCAGGTGCAGAGATGATCAGGAATGGCACACTGCAGCTGATGAAACTGTGCGACTCCGTCAAGCAAACGATCCAGACATGAAGTTGTGGCCTCGTGCATGGCGGGAGCTGGAGGAGATCTTCTCTGTTATTTGTCGTCTGATACTTTTGCGTAATTCTGCCATTTCGGGCGGTCTGATGTTTGCGTCTGTCTAGTCATTCTTTTGGTTGGCTGTAATAGACTTGATATTAGTGTTACCAGGTTTTCGCCCCATGACATCCGTTTCGATGGCGGGCGGATGTGGTGGGTTTCCTGGTAATGCTTGAACCAGCTCTACCCTCTTTCCCTCCTCCTGTTATCTTGAACTGGTTTGTATTTCCGTTCTTAGTAATGGAAAGGGGTAAATGCCCGGTTCGAAAAAACAGGAAAGTCACATGCAACGTTATTAGTCACATCACCCAATCCCAGATATAATTAATCTTTATATCTAGTAAGAAATTTTTGGAGACCATCCAGAATCTACATTAAGTAGTAACGTTATAATGATGTTTGGAGCAGCTACTAGCTGCATTGACTATGAATTAGTAATAGAATAACAACTTCTCTGAATTAGTGCAGCTGATGAACCAAAATCATAACTACGATGCATGAGATTTGTCCATGTAAAAAGATCTTTCTCCTATACCTTTCCAAATGAAACTATGATGCAAATTCAAGCAGTAATTTTGACAAGGCATTTAGGCTATTGAAATTTAGTCAATTCACAGAAGGGGAATTCCGCACATAGGAAAAAGAAAAAAAAGTATGTTCCGATGGAGTTCATCAAGCATAGATAACAATATTGGAGCTTAGTAATATGGTGAGGCCTCACCTGGATCCCTTTAGCAAGAAAATTGAACTAATGAATCGTGCTTCTAATTAAGGAAACCACATCAAGAAACAACACTAGTTTGACACAAGTAGCTTCCATTTGGACTTAAATATTGGTATCTCCATAAAAATAAGCAAACAATAGAAGAACTTGCGAACAAAATTAACATTTAGACAGTATCCAAACTGTAAGAGTTAAAGAAAATTTGGAAATAGTTTGATGATGAGGGCAAATCCATGCTGGCGTTAGGAGCACCAATGCATGTATGCACTGCAACACAAAACTAAATCACCATACCAAGAGAAAGCATGCTACAACCAGTTTCCACATAGTACTGCAAGAAAAGAAAGAATATGCAGAACATTTTACTTATAGTGGTTTCAATCATGTTGCAGATATTACGGCCATGGATCCTATCCAATCTCACACTCTTCTGGACCCAACAGCTTCAGCTCCATCCCGCCGCGACACTGCCGCCACGCTGTCAGCATTGCAACGCTGCTGCCCCACTTCCCGTCTGCACCGCACAACTAATGCACATGAATCAACACTTGACCACAAAATCTAAAGTGTAAACAACAAGACAACCTGAACTACAAAAAACACGTCAGATTCAGGCTTGACCTCACCTTATGCCACACCAGACTACCACATGAAAAGAGAACATCGCTGCAAATCTGCAATTTATCAGCTCCTTCCTATGGATTCAATCAGTTACCGGGCAACACCAAACTGTTTACCAAGGAACATGTGTCGATGTGTTGTAGAAATTCGATATGAGGGCTAAAGCACAAAATCCGATTCTGCCTCAGAGGCTTTTTCTATCAGCTTGGCACTAGAGGCATGCCCTTTCCACCCCTTGAAAATGTGATGGACACTGTAAATTCGAAGGGGAGTGCTTCGGTACACCCCCCCTAAAACGTATAGTGGGTAGTATGGTAATTTCACATTAGGTATAGGAATACCCACCCGACGCCGTACGTCGCGCGCGACGTCGTACGCCCGCCCGCGTATGCCGCACCCGTTGTTGTACGCCCGCCCGCCCGCGTACCCGCACCTGTCGCCGTACGCCCTCACGTCTCGACGTTGGTGTGGACAGTTGTTGGAGGACAAAAAGACACGGTAGCCGCCGACGCCCGCCGTCGAAACCCTGAACCCTAACGCATCCACACCGTCTCCATGTTGGCCCCCATCTGCACGAAGTCGCCGTCGCCCGAGTTGCGGCCCAAACAGGCCGCCGCGCGTGCCCCGGCGCCTTTACCGCTACCAGCGCGCGTGCCCGCCGCCGCATTCCATTCCCGTCGCCCAGATGGCCGCCCACCCGCGATCTACGTCGCCGCCTCCCTCCGCACACTATGCCTACTATGACCAGCCATCGTCCTCACGCCGTCGACACCTACCTCCGCCGGCCAGCAATGTCACGCCGTCATCACGTTTGTCATCGGAGGAAATGGATCCGGCTGAAATCCTCGCCGCCGTGCAAGAGGTTGGTTTGAGACATTGTTGTGCTTGATAAGATAGTTGTTTTAGGGATGATGTTACACGGCGTTTGATTCATCGTACAATTTTTTTTAACTATATATAGTTAGAGAAGGAGGGAGATTATGATGGCGATGATTACGGCGAGGACAACGAAACCTCGTCACGGAATATGGATGAACCTCGTGAGGAGAACTACATGAGTTTGGATGAATCTTATAGTGGCAATGTAAGTGTGATCAATGTTGATAAAACAATATATATGACGGGGTAAATATGATAGACCGCACGGAAAATTTAATATTTTTTTGCATGATGCAGCGACATGGCGATGATGATGATGATATGGATATAGATGATTCATTTGCTGAAAGTGCACTCCGGGTATGTTATTAATAAAATCGGAGAAGAAATGACATAATAACCATATGAGCGCTTACATGTTTTATTTTTGCAATGCGCGCAGATGGACGAGGACGGGGACTTTGTGAGGAAAATTGTGGATGATGAAAGTGACAAATCGCACGTTGATGCATCTCATGATGACAGCTCCAGCAAAGTAAGTTTTGAAACTTACATCACTAAAGTACATTTTAAAATTATAACTGACTGACATAAATGGTTTAATGCATTAATTTACAAGGAGATGTAGATGGTACAAGTGGGAATGATGAGCATGTTGGTGATGATCTGTTTAATTTTGACATCAGATTTGATGAATATCAGCAAGAATCATTGGACATGCATTGGAAGGTCATGAGGAAGACGTTCAAGTCACTAGGAGATGCTTACAATTTCTATAATCAGTATGCGTACGAGCGTGGTTTCAGTGTAAGAAAGGACTCACTGAAATATTCGAAAGGTCCTGAGGCAACTAAGCGCTTGAGAAAGTATGTGTGTGCGAGAGCTGGGAAACGACAGGCAAAACGTTGTACAATGGAAGGCAGGACCCGCAGGCTGAGAGGGGAGACTCGTTGCTTCTGCGATGCGCGTATAACTTTGAAACTTGATAAAGAGCGTGACGTTAGGTATGTCAGCAGTTTCAATGATGATCACAGTCATGTTCTAGCTAGACCGGATGAAGTCACGTTTCTTCGGTCTCACAATCAGATAAAAGAATATCAGAAGGCTGAGATCTTAACCATGGCAGGTGCTGGAATCAGGAAAGATATGATTTATGATCAACTCGTTGCGCGCTCCGGGTCATATGCAAAGGCTGGTTTTGGGAGGAAGAAGCTTTATAACATGTGTTGTAGAGAAAAAATGAAGTTGCTTGCACAAGGTGATGCAGACACCGCCATTGGGATCATGATGACCAGAAAAGAAAGAGATCCAGATTTCTTCTTTAAGCACACCGTCGATGATGAAGGAAGGCTGAAAAACATATTCTGGTGTGATTCTCAATCACGTCGAGACTATGTTGACTATGGTGATGTGACAGTCTTCGACAGCACATATAGGATGAATAGGTATGGCATGCCATTTATACCTTCTGTCGGTCTGAACAACCACCGTTGCACCATGGTATTTGGTTGTGCTCTTGTGTCTGACGAGACGGAAGATACATATGTCTGGCTGCTTCAGACGTTTTTGAGGGCTCACTGTCAGAAGAGGCCCAGGTCAGTAATTACTGATGGAGATGCAGCTATGATTAAGGCCATAAGAAAGGTACTTTCGGAGGTTTGGCATCGTCTTTGCTCGTGGCATATTGAGAAGAACATGCAGAAACACCTTCATCATAAGTCTCTAAAGGATTTCAGGTCTCTACTTTATTATGCCACTTCAAAAAAGGTATTTGAGGAGAGATGGGCAGCGTTTACCGCCAAATGGCAGTCGGAGAAAACAAAGACATGGTTACGTAGGATGTACAAGAAGAAAAGGCTTTGGGCTGCATCATATCTGTCAGGTGGGTTTTTCTTAGGTATGCGAAGTAACCAGCGAAGTGAGAGTCTGAATTCATGCCTTCACTTGCATCTAGACTCCGGTATGACTATTGTTGATATGATTGTGCACTATGAGAACTGCATAGTTTGTCTCCGTGAGAATGAGGCGCATGATGATTGCACAAACTCACAGACAGTTCCAGTACCAGTATTGGATGAGTGTAAAGATATTGAGAAATCAGCTGCCCGTGAGTTCACTACGGCAAACTTTTATATCTTGCAGGAAGATATGAAGAAGGCACGGGAGCTAGAGGTCCTTGAGAGACTGAGAGGAGCAGACACTCACAGATTCATACTGACGTGGAAGGAAAATAGAGATATCAGATTCACTGTGGACTACACCCCAGGTAACTTAGAAGAAACTGTGAAGTGCAGTTGCAGAAGCATGTATCACAAAGGACTTCCTTGCAAACATATTCTTCATGTTCTGATTCAGCTACGCTTACGTGAGATACCTAAGTGTTTAGTACTGCGGAGGTTGAGCCAAGTTGCAAGGGGTGGACTTCCCGTGAAGCGCACTAGCGATCTGTTTGCATGGGGATGGGAAGGTGCAGGGGACAGAGCTAGGTAGAGCGAGTTAACTATCTTATCTGCTGAAGCAACTCATAAAGCATGTCATAAACCATTTTTATTCGACAAGTTGAAGGCGGCTCTGAGGGACATAATAGATAATGATTACACTGAGGAGGATGAGCCTGGTGCGGAGGTACAGTTTGTGAACGACGATGCATTCGAGCCTAATCAAGATCATGGTCTTGTTCGTGATCCCGCAAAAGTTAACACCAAAGGCGCACCAAAACAGAATGTTA